TTAAAAGAAGAAAAAATCACAATATCGATACATATTTTAATCCTATCTAAGCTTATGAATTGAGTTGGATCTTTTCTAATTGTTCTCTTTATCTCTACGTTGAAATGATGATGTCTATTCCTGTTGTGACCTCCTTTAAAAAATTATTCATCGTTCTCTTGATGGTTCTTGAATGGACTTTGAAGATGGAAGCCAGGGTATGAAGGTTGGCATCATTACTGAAGGCTTGAATGATCTTTTTCCTCTCACCATTGCTTAGCTGGGAAGACACTGACAATTTCAACCTGTTCTCTTTCTAGTTGAATAACTCAAAGAGTTTTTCAGTGATTCTTACGACAAATGGTGTCAAGATGGCTAAGCGTCTTATCTGAAAACCTGGAAAAGAAACTCAATATTTTTTTTTCTTAGACATTAATTTTGGAGGATGGACAATTATTCCATGTTGTTAGACGATTTGGGAAATTTTTGCTGTTACACCCTGTTATATATATATATATATATATATATATATATATTTTTAACATACAACGTGTGTTAGCACGTGCGATACCCTGTCTTCATCAGTCGCCGACCAGGGGTGATCTCACGGTTTCGGTGGCTATGGCGGGATCGCCACCCCTAGCGCCACCAGCAGCGTTTGCCACCAGTCAGGGTATGAAGATAAGCTAACTAATTGTTCCCTTAAGTAAAATCTATCTGCAATGAAAGTTTCTTGAACGCGTTTGCTGTTATTGACGCGCTCGTAAAAGTCGTTATAGACGACCACGCAATATATATATATATATATATATATATATATATATATATATATATATATATATATTACACTAAAGTTCAAAAGTTTCAAGAATCCCCAGAATTAGGATAGAATAAACTTGACAGAAAGTGAAAAAATGAAAAAGAAATCTTAAAGTCACGGACAAAAGAATGGAATCAATTATCAAACTTTTACTTTGAGAGACTTTTGCAATGAATGTCAAAAATTTGTACTGCAATAATCAAAGCTAAAGGAGGATATTTTGACGAGAGCAACATTTAATCGTGAAATCCCTTTTTTTTTCTTTTTATACAATAAAATTTATAAGAAAACTCACGTTTAACTTTTTTTAATCATGTTTAATTTTCTCTAATTTAAAGTACAAAACAGCTACATTTTGGGCCAAATTAAAAAATTACCATGGTGTCCTCAAACTTTTGAACAGTGATATATATATATATATATATATATATATATATATAAGTGAACATTGAAGTCAACACTTAAAGGCGACAGGCTGCTTCATGCTAGACGCAATCGTTAGGCCTGACAATTACATCTAGCATGAATCAAGCCTGTTGCCTCTAAGAGTTGACTTCAATGTTCACTTTTATATTTTCACACGATCTCTCTGGTAATGAGCACTTTATCCCATAAATATAGCACACCTTAAGACTATATTTCTTCATACATATATATATATATATATATATATATATATATATATATATATATATATATATATATATATATATATATATATATATATATATATATATAAATAAATAAAAAAAAGAAAGAACAGTAAGATATAAAATTTTATTCTTATTTATATTTTTATTTTTAAAAATAGTGCTCAATGTAAATTTACAGAGCATTAATATTATAAATTAATTGATTTAAAATATATTTTTTTCGCTACACAGTTCCAAACATGGTTGGAACTGTGTAGCGAAAAAAAACCATATTTTAAATCAATTAATTTATATTATATATATATATATATATTTTTCGACCCACCTTCTTCAGCCGAGAAAGAAAATGACATCGCTTTATTTTTTTTATGTGTATGTGTGTGCTTTTGTGTGTGTGTGTGTTTTTTTACTTTTTTAATTACTGCTGTTAGTGTCATTGAGTGCAAAGTATGCGTGGAACTTTAACTATCACTGTGATATTCGTGCGTCTGTTTATATTTGTCTGCGCATGCGGTTGCACGCATATAACAGCGCATGCGCGTGCATATGGTTGCGAGCACATAAGACTGGGTATTGCCATCTAACGCCATTTTCATTTTCGCCGGATTACTTTCACATTTCTCGCGTTTATTATTAATGAACAATTACAAATCATTAATTAAAACGTTCATCTCTCAAATTTTGCTTACGAATGTCAGCCAAGTCATCATTAACTTTTGCCGCCGGCTGAAAGCGACTACTTCTGCTACAGCCTGGAAGCGACGTCAAACATCTCACAGAAGTAATTAGCTTGACATCTCACTGTTGATAGCATCTCCGTAAACAGATATTGTAGCTATATTATACTTAGGCAACTGTTGCCTCCTTGGCGGCAGGATGATCAAATTTCAAATCTAAATTGTCCGTTAAAACTACCACATTTATTAAAAATATATCCAGGTTAAATTATCTGAGAGAACATTTTCACAATCCATCGACATGGCTGAAGCTAGCCTCTAGGAACGTCACTCAGTGTCAACCTTTCCACTGAAGAGGAAAGAGTTTATTTAATCAAGTCTGCGGCTAAGAAAATTGATTCACTGAGTTGTGCGCGACAATTTTTTCGACAGAATCTATTTTACATATTTACAAGCCTACCATTCGTTCTTGCTTTGACTATTGCTGCCACATATATATTGAGCTTCTTGATAAGATCTAAAGAAAAATTTGCAATGTTATTGGTCCCAACCTGGCATCTCGGCTTCAGTCACTTTTTTACCGCCATAACATAGCTTCCCTGTGCCTTTTCTATTTTTTTTTTTTATTTTGATGAATCATTTGATAATTGTTCTGAACCATAATTGCTTCCTCTTTAAATATTTTAGACTTTAATTATTTTAAAATATAATATAGCTTCCTCTTATATTTCTATAAATATTTTTATGGTAATTGTTCTGATGAGAATTGTTCTTTAATCAATTATACTTTATGAATTTAAGCCATAATATTGCTTCCCTCTGCCTTTTCTATAAATATTTTAATAATAATTGTCCTGATGTGCTTTCCACTTTGGTACATAGATTTTATGAATTTAAGTGCAGTACTAGATTGGTGGCAATAAGTCTACCAATTGTCCAGGCTTTGAATATTACTGCCACATATGCTCTGTTGCTGCTGCTATACATTCAGAGATCCTTGATAAAATCCAAAGATGAATCTGTAATGTTATTGTTCCTAACCTGGCATCTCGGCTTCAGTCACTTCCCCACTGCCATAATGTAGCTTCCTTGTGCCTTTTCTATAAATACTTCCATGGTAATTGTTCCTCTGTGATTCTTAAACTTTATGAATTTAAGCACAGTACTTAGGTAGATCCTACCGGGATTCAACTTTCTTACCAACATAAGATATGCAAACGACACAGTACTGATAGCAGACACAGAAAAAAAACTACAAAACCTCTTACAGAAGTTAGTGAGGGAGAGCGAGAAGAAAGGACTAACGATAAACTACAAGAAGACAGAATGCATGGTCATCAGTAAAAGGATGAACCCGAAATGCAATTTGCAGTTCGGGGACACTAAAATCAAGCAGGTGCGGAAGTTTAAATATCTGGGAAGTGTTTTGACGGAGTAGGCGCGATGTTGAGATCCAAAGACGTATTGGGATGGCCAAGGACACATTCCAAAAGCTGGGCAGAGTATTGCGAGACAGAAGGATTTCTTTGTTGACAAAGAAAAGAGTACTGAGCTGCTACGTGACATCTCCCCTCACATAAGGTAGCGAATTTTGGACGGTCTTCTAAAAGATGAAAAAGAGACTCTAGGCAGCGGAGATGTGGTTCTACAGAAGGATGCTGAGGATATCATGAAGCGAGCGTGTGAGCAATGACGTGATTTTAGAAAGAATGCAAACAAGGAGGAATCTTATACAGTGTAACCCGGATATAAGAGACCCCGATATAAGAGAAACCCGGATATAAGAGAGATTTTATCTGGTCCCAAATTAGAGCCTGTGTTAATGTATATATAATAGACCAAACCCAGATATAAGAGAAACCCGGATATAAGAGACTTCTTTTCCGGTCCCGACAACTCTCTTATATCCGGGTTACACTGTATTTAACGTAAGGAAGAAGCAGATGAATTTTCCGGGGCACGTAATGAGAAAGGAGGCCTGAAGAATCTGATATTCACAGGGCGAATGGAGTGGAAAGAAACAAGGAAAAACAACGCATGACATACTTGGCAGAGGCATGAAACTTATTGAGAGCCACAAGGAATAGAGGGAAGTGGAGAGCCATTACACATTAAAAAAAAAAGACTAGATCAACGGAAATGTCTCAACATTTTACAGTGGAAATGACTAGATGTAACCGTAAGTTCTATGATGACAGTTTCTTCCAGCCGACTTCTGTTTGTGGAATTTTTTTCCTGCTTCTTGCTAACCAGGCAAATTTGATCTTGAAAAACCTCAAAAGAGTTACTCATTGCGAGTAAATTTGCTAGTCACTCATTGACAAAAATCTGTCTCTTCTTTTATAATATAGATTGGGTGACAAAGCGGCACATCATCTAAGTGATGCTGGAGTACAAATATATGAAACCCAATGTAACCATCAGGACTCTAAGCCTAGATAAAAGTATACAATGTACATGCCGAACGGACTCTGTATGCCGGCAGATTGCGATAAAATAACGCATAACATAGCAGGTTGAACCCAAGTTAGAAATGCCTTCAGCTTAGATATCCCTGTCCGTTCCGACGGTATACGATTCGGCGTCTTCCCATATATCTAGAGGTGATTCTAAAGTTGAAACCCCGGTTACCGTATGATTAGGCAAAATCAAGCCTGGTCAGTACCTGGATGGGTGACCGCTTGGGAATATCAGGAGTTGTAAGCTTGAATGTGCGGCTAGAACAGGCTTACGGACATATCATATATTGAAACACTGGTCCCCGTACAGTCACTAAAGTTAAGCAACGTCGAGTCTTTTCATTACGTAGATGGGTGACCGCCTGGGATATACCAGGTGCTGTAAACTTCGATGTGCGGCGAGAACAGGCTTACGGACACATCACGTTGAAACACCATTTCCCGTACGATCACCGAAGTTAAACAACATCGAGCCTGGTCAGTACCTGGATGGGTGACCGCTTAGGAATATTGGGAGTTGTAAGCTTGGATGTGCGGGTAGAACAGGCTTACGGACATATCCTATATTGAAACACTGGTCACCGTACGATCACCGAAGTTAAGCAACGTCGAGCCTGGTCATTACGTATATGGGTGACCGCCTGGGATATACCAGGTGGTGTAAACTTCGATGTGCGGCGAGAACAGGCTTTCGGACACATCACGTTGAAACACCATTTCCCGTACGATCACCGAAGTTAAACAACATCGAGCCTGGTCAGTACCTGGATGGGTGACCGCTTAGGAATATCGGGAGTTGTAAGCTTGGATGTGCGGCTAGAACAGGCTTACGGACATATCATATATTGAAACATTGGTCACCGTACGATCACCGAAGTTAAGCAACGTCGAGCCTGGTCAGTACCTAGATGGGTGACCGCTTAGGAATATCGGGAGTTGTAAGCTTGGACGTGCGGCTAGAACAGGCTTACGGACATATCATATATTGAAACACTGGTCACCGTACGATCACCGAAGTTAAGCAACGTCGAGCCTGGTCAGTACCTAGATGGGTGACCGCCTGGGATATACCAGCTGCTGTAAGCTTGTATGTGTGGGTAGAAAAGCCTTACGGCCACATCACGTTGAAACACTGGTCACCGTACGATCACTGAAGTTAAGCAACGTCGAGTCTGGTCATTACGTAGATGGGTGACCGCCTGGGATATACCAGGTGCTGTAAGCTTGGATGTGTGGGTAGAAAAGGCTTACAGCCACATCACGTTGAAACACTGGTCACCGTACGATCAATGAAGTTAAGCAACGTCGAGTCTGTTTATTATGTAGATCGGTGACCGCCTGGGATATACCTGATGCTGTAAGCTTGGATGTGTGCGCAGAAAACGCTTACGGCCACATCACGTTGAAACACTGGTCACCGTACGATCACTGAAATTAAGCAACGCCGAGCCTGGTTATTATGTAGATCGGTGACCGCCTGGGATATACCGCCTGGGATTTTGTTAAGAGCTAGGTTGACACGTTGATCCTAGATAGAGGTACAAACATAGCACTGATCCTAAACAAGGGCCAGGGTGACACTTTGATCTTGAGAGAGCGTACAGTCTCTACACTATTAACAGGCCAGGGCAGTATTGGCACGCTGATACTCATCGGACAGTACAGATAAGACACTGATCCTAGTGCTATGCTGATACTTTAATCCGAGACACGGTGTACAGATTTGACCCTATTAACAAGCAAAGGCAGTAGAGACATTTTGATCCTAAACAGAACGTACAGTTACGACATTGATCATAGCAAAAGATCAACATGTTGATCCTATACAAACGTACAGATGTTACACTGAACCTAGGCAAAGTCGAAGCGACACTTTGATCCCGACCAAGCGTACAGACATTGCACAGATTCTAGGCAAGGACGATGGTAACACTTTGATCCTGGCAAGAGCGCACAGATACTGCAGGGTAACGATCATTTTTCACGGGCATGAGGCTTTTGAATCAACTTACAGACTTTACTCTTTGAATAAACAGGGATTTAAGGCAGTCTGTGGGAGGTATCATGGAGATAAACGGAAATGGACAAAAATATAGAGCGAGTCAATAAAAAATAGTCTAAAATTTTGTCAGAAGACTTTTCCTTCCCCCTCAGTCGCCGGTTTCATCTGAGAAATTTTATGGGATTCTGGTTTGCAGCTGATGTAGAGACTGCAAATATTATTAATTGCTTCCTTACAAAACAAGAATATCTGACGTGAACAAATACACGGATTACACAACAGAAGAGATAGATAGATAGATAGATAGATAGATAGATAGATAGATAGATAGATAGATAGATAGATAATGAACAGGCTAACATAGATAATGAACATAGATAGATAGATAGATAGATAGATAGATAGATAGATAGATAATAATGAACAGTCTAACATAGATAGATAGATAGATAGATAGATAGATAGATAGATAGATAGATAGATAATGAACAGGCTAACATATATAGATAGATAGATAGATAGATAGATAGATAGATAGATAGATAGATAGATAGATAGATATGAACAGGCTAACATAGATAGATAGATAGATAGATAGATAGATAGATAGATAGATAGATAATGAACAGACTAAGATAGATAGATAGATAGATAGATAGATAGATAGATAGATAGATAGATAGATAGATAGATAATGAACAGGCTAACATAAATAATAAACATAGGTAGAGAGATAGATAGATAGATAGATAGATAGATAGTAGACAAACTAAGAAAGAAAGAAAGAAAGAAAGAAAGAAAGAAAGAAAGAAAGAAATCTCTTGAGCATAAAATTAAAATTAACACTACCTTACATCTGTCGGTGGTGTGGGTGTGAATGGTTAATTTTCGTTTTAGCCTCTCTATCTTGGATGTTTGCTTCTCGACATATCCAAGTATTACAGTTTCTAGTTCAGTGTGCGCATGCGTACTGATGGGCTTGTGTATTCTTTTACTCTTTTCTTCGTTGATTTCAAATCGAACAGAAATCTTACGGCAGCCCGGCCATAATTTCTCATTAAAAAAACTGATGTCTTAATTAAAGCAACTCTTAAATGGAAATAAATTTCAATAATATTGGAAAAATTTGTTTGTTCACGAAAGTCATGGATGCTGTCGAATGTTGTTTTTGTTAAAAATCGCTTACATGATTGGAAATTAGCCTACTTCAAATTCTGTAAGTATTTCAGATTAGTATTTAGTATGGCACAAGGGCACGAATGGGCGAGATATTAGAATGATCCAAAACTAAAACTGGCGGCAAATGGTTGCATAAGAATAGAAAATTAAATCAATAAATAGACAAAAATAGAAAGAGGTGTAAGACAAGAAGGTGTCTTCTCCCCGGACTTCAGTTATGTGCCATGCGTAAGACATGCTTAGGCGATCATGAATCTTTCGATAGATGACTGACTTTTTTTTCCCCGGAGTAGGTTGTCATTTCTTTCTGCGGTAGACCAGTTGCCATCCAAGGCTATAGAACCCGGTCTGTACTGCTATTTGCCCAAAGTTGGAGTGAGGGAGAGTTGAAGAGAATTCATAACTTTCCGACGTAAATTCGAACTCGGGCCCCCCTTTTACTTTTTTTTTCATTCTTTTTTTTATTCTTTCTTCCTTTCATTATTTTCATTTCTTTCTTTCTTTCTTTCTTTTTTCTTTTCCTTTTCTTCCTTCTTTCTTTCTTACTTTTTTGTGTCTTTTATTGACTGTTCTTTTCCGTTCTTCCTTCCTTCCCTCCTTCCTTTCTTCTCTCCTTCCTTCCTTCCCTCCTTCCTTCCTTTCTTCCTTCCTTCCTTCCTTCCTTCTCTCCTTCCTTCCTTCCCTCCTTCCTTCCTTCCCTCCTTCTTTTCTTCCCTCCTTCCTTCCTTCCCTCCTTCTTTCCTTCCCTCCTTCCTTCACGCCTTCCTTCCCTCCTTCCTTCACGCCTTCCTTCCCTCCTTCCTTCCTTCTTTTCTCTACTTCCTTCCTTCCCTCCCTCCTTCCTCCCCTTCTTCCCTCGTTCCTTCCTTCTCCAGTCAATTATGTGCCATGCATGATACACGCTTAGGCGATCATGTATGTTTCCATATATGACTGACAAGGCAGATTTTTTTTCTGCAGTAGTTTGCCATTTCTTTCTGCGATAGACCAGTTGCCATCCAAGGCTATAGAACCCGGTCTGTCCTGCCATTTACCCATAGCTGGGGGAAGAAGAAAAGGATTCGTACCTTCCCCAAGATTATTAGCACGTAAGTGAATGTAATGGATTCGACTGGAATTCGAACTCGGCTCTCCGATTCCGCAATCCGTGCCGTGGACTTATAGAACCTAAACAGTGAAGCGATTATGAGAGAATTAGAATTTCTACAAGGATTCATTATTGCCAGACACAGTCTTAACAACATTAGACATGCAGATGACACAGTATTGATAGCAGATACAGAAAAGTAAATCAAGGAACTTCTACAGAAAATAGTGAAGGAAAGCGTAAAGAAAGGACTAAGCCTCAATTGCAAGAAGACAGAATGCATGGTTGTTAGCAAAAGGGACAGCCCAAAATGCAAATTACAAATTGGGGATAACAAAATCAAACAAGTACAACAATTTAAATATATAAAAGAAATTATTGTGATCATCACAAAGTGTGTTTCCAGGGGTGGGGTGTTCAAGTTTTATTTTCTTACATTAAGTAAAGCTATAAGAGGACAATATTATTTTGCTTCTGTAATTAAAATTTAAATATTTGAATATATATATATATTGTTATTATCGCTTTTCTCTGGCACTCCTTATTACTGGTTCCCATATTGTATTCATTTCTATGCTTTGTCGGCTCAGGAGATTTTTATGGCCTAGCATATGTGCTGATTCCTTAAGTTTACGAATTTTTCAATAGTGTTCTTTGTATATGTTCCCTCAGAGGGCAATGGTCATCCTTCTCTCTCCATATGTGGTCACCGCCTTCTGTGGAATCAGGTTGAGATCATAGACAAAGAACACCATTGGAAAATTCGTAAACTTAAGGAATCAGCACATATGCTTGTCAAAAATGAATAATAAGTGATAATGCTTCATCTAAGAAATTCAGACAACTTAAGACTATTACTACTTGGTGGAAAAATAAGAGAAATAAGATGAAAGAAATACTAGTCAAAAATGAATAATAATTGACAAGGCTTCATCTAAGAAATTCAGACAACTTAAGACTATTACTACTTGGTGGAAAAGCAAGAGAAATAAGATGAAAGAAATACTAGTCAAAAATGAATAATAATTGCAAATGACTGTTCAAACTATCATATTTATCAAAGAGACAAAAACATGAAAACGATGAATGATAATTTGCCAACTTTCTTTTTCCTTTTTAGGGAACAGCAAGTGAATCCACATTCCTTGCGCTTTTGGCTGCACGTACGGAAGCTCTGAAGCGCTATAAAAGCCTGCATGGATCAGTGGAAGACGCTGAAATAAACGCTAGATTGGTTGCCTATTGTTCCGACCAGGTAAGTGTATTTGTTTTTGGATGAAGGGGCTGAGACTAGACCCCTAATTCTTGGCTCCCTTGATTACGTTTTTTTTATTATTTTAAATCGTAGATCATTTGAACATAAATTTGATATGATTTTATGCTGATGAACTGTGTCAATATTGACAATAAATTTATACATAATGTCCATAAAATCTGTGCTCAGCTCTTTAAGTATAATGGATAATTTAACAGATAAAGTTGTTAAGCACCGTATTTGACATAAACGCACGGGTGTATAAGACGCACCCCAATTTCAGCAGGACAAATCATGAAAAATAGTAATTAGTAAAATTAGTAAAAATATTAGTAAATGGTACAGCCTAGGCTATATTTATGAGGTATTATTTTGATTAAACAAGCCATTATTACAATTAAACAAAAAATAATAGGAAAAAAGGTCACCAGCCTACAAAATCTTTATTATATCCAAAGGTAAGAAATCAAAATAAAAATCAAGCAATTATTACAATTGAACAAAACAGTACAGTTACTATTAAAATTTTATTCATCTTTAAATCCATAAAATTCGTCGTCT